GACAACCTCACCATGTGGCTTGGCTGATCGCAGCTGGGAGACTCAAGAAGGTCCACTTCAATCAGATGCGACACGCATCAGAGCGTGAACGCTTGGTGGCAGAGAGCACAACTCAGTTGACGCTGCCACGGACTTTCCAGAACCTCTCCAGACTGATCAATAAGGGCGAGTATGATGATGAACTGCTCACCGACCTTCAACTTCGAGAACAAGCCCAAGCTGCTCGTCGTCTTCTAGATGAACAAGAGCGAGCCGGACGCGCTGAGATGAAAAGAGCGCTTGAAAGTTCGACCGCTTCAGCGTCGACGGGGCACCAACAGATCCCTGAGAAGGTGCGAAAGACCTCCAGAGGAACTTCTTTCCTGCCAGCTGAGACAGCTGCAGATGATGATCCTGATGCTCCCGACATCGACATGGAGGAGTACACGCCTTCACTGGACCCTCGAGATCAGGTCCAAGATGAGCTACACCCTGCTCGATTGGTAGGTGATCCTTCCTACCTACCACTTGGGACGGCTGAACAAGGCCCTCTCTTTCAGCACCGCCCATTCCTTGAAGCCCGACGACGACATGAACTTCTTGAACGACCTCATTCGGCGCAACGTCAAGAATACCTTCAACAGCAACGGGGCACCGGCAGTGAAGGTGGAGCTCTCCTAGCAGCAGACGCCCATGAGGATTTGGCGATGGAGGACTATGTCTTTGCGGTCACTTTGCCGGCGCCCGCCAGTGAGGCGGAATGGCGAGCCATCGCCAAGGACCCTTCCAAGTTTGTGGCAAAGAAGGTTGCCAAGGGCGTCGAAGTCGGGGACGAAAGGGATTCGCAATGGATTGGTTTCCTGGAAGCCTTTCATGGACGGCTCCGATGGAGTCCCTGGGAATGTGCTCCTCTCCATCATTGTGGAGTCAACATGGAGCAGAGCATTCATGGGCATTGGCACCTCACTCAAGAGGCCTTCTGCCAGGAGATCAACCAGGTGACTGAAGATGGCCTCACCAAGGACTTGACGGAGCATGAGCGGCATCAGTGCCGTGCAGTCCTAGGAGCAGCACAATGGCGTTGCTACCAAAGCGGCCCTCAGCATTCCTCCAAGCTGAGCCATCTCCAAAGCATGCTGCCCAAAGGTGACCGGAACACCTTGAAGGACATCAACCGCTTCGTCAAGGAGATCTACAGCCAGAAGGAGCTCGGCGTCACTGTGTATGACCTCAAGGCCACCTCCGACGAGGACATTGTGGCCGTGGGATGGTCAGATGCTGCTCTGGCGAATCGGTGCGATCTCTCCAGCACCGGTGGCTACGTCATCGGCTTTGTCAACAAGAAGATGTTGGATGGCCATCAAGGCCCAGTGAGCATCATGAGCTAGAGCACCCATAAGCTCCGAAGAGTCTGCCGTTCAAGCTTGGCAGCGGAAGCACAAGCCTTGTCCGAGTGCGAGGCTGAGCTGATGATGGTGCGCTTTTTGTGGCAGGAGCTACTTGGCCGAGAAGCTACGCTGGCTTCACCATGGGCGACTTCCCGCCTGACTCCTGGCGTCCTGGTGGTGGACGCAAAGGCGCTGTTCGACCTCCTTCAACAGGAGGACATTCCCAACATGTCCGCCAAGGAGAAGCACACTGCCTTGGAAGTGCTTGGCCTGAGCCAGCATTTGGTGGATCAATCCACCATTCTGCGCTGGTGCAATTCGGACCAGCAGTTGGCGGATGGGATGACGAAGGTGAGCGCCCAGGACAAGATCACCAAGTTCCTGTCCAGCGGCCAGAGATGGAACCTGGTCTACGACAGCACCTTCACCGCTGCAAAGCGACTCCGAGCAGCTGGGCCGCTGCCGCTGAAAGCTGAGGTAGATAGCCTGAAAGATCCCTCATTCACGGACCTGCTGTGCGACGGTTCGGGGCATGTGAGTTTTTCAGGTTCAGACATGTCAGCACGACACTTCACTGACAACCGCCGCACCGCGATCCTGTGAACTCAAGGGACCCCTTTGGCCATACCTGGCTTTTGTTTGGAGGACGAACACCGTCCGTTCGAGCCATAGAGAAAAGGCGCTGGCCGACCTGCGCAAGGTGACACGCACGAGAAGTGTACCAACCTTTGTTCAAGAGGGCGAACCCTTTTGCTACCTGACACCTCATGGTTTGAATGAGATATACTGATATACTTTTATTCTACCACTGGTTTGTTTAGAGTGATTTGTTTCGGTTCCAATTAATTTTTGTCTTGGCTTTATGTTGCTCATATGCATGGAGCCTTATGGTTTTGACTTTCTGGGGCCTGGGGTGGCCGGGCGTTGCGGAGGCAGATCGTTTGGTCGAGTCTGGACACTTCAAGGAACTGGACAAGATCCTTGAGCTCCTGCTTGGGCCTTGCCAACGTGTTCCAAGAACCATGCATGTCTCCAGAAAGCCCTGCAATCAGTCGACCAGCGCCTGCCCGATGCACTCCGCCTCCTCTTTCTTTGCTATGCTGCTTTGCCCATCATGACATCTGGCAGGAAGATGTGGAGCAATGTCTCCAGTTTTGAGCGAAAAAGTGGCTGCTGCTGTCTCTATGAACGGCTGGGTTCGCAGAGTCTGGCTGTCTTCTGTGGGCTCAGGTACCAGTCCATCGACCGACCTCAACAGCCTTGATCCAAGAATGCACCAGTTCCAAGGCAGATGCAGAAGCTTCTGAAACATGCCAGCGACTTCTGTTTGCTTAGGTTGCAAACCTTCGTCTTCTCAGCAACTTTGACGTTGGATCCTCGCGCACAACGCCATCACCTTAGTGTACATACATATATATATATGCACATATTTATACATAAATCTCGTTTTTATTGAACGAGGCTCGGGGGATGCGATCATTGAATGTCAATTCTTTCTCAATTGCCTTACAACTCGAACTGTCCTTGCTAAGAGTAGACACTCAGAACACCGGACATCTTCATGGATCAAGAAGAGGATAACCTTGTCATGCCTTGTCAAAGGCTTCTCTCCGAAGCACACTGAAACTTTTCCGGGATGCACTCACATTCACTGCATGCAGTCAGCAACACGCGCTTGGCCACATGCTGCCACGCGCACTTGGGGATTTTAGTTTGCTTCCGCACCCCAATGCTTAGGTGGGGAAGAGGGAGCTGGCAAGGCTGGATATCTTTCCATATGTGAGAAAGACGGCGCTTTCGCTTTCCATGTTCTGGTTTCGGTCTAGAAGTTGTACTATGGGTTTAAACTGTTCAGATTCTACAAGTGTTTCTTCGCCTGGTGTTGCAGTATCTCAAGCCTAATTTGCTTCTGCAGACAAGATCCAAGGGACAGAGGTTGGTCTTTTCTCAAGTAAGTTTCCTAAGAATCTAGGAACCAAATCATTAGTGCGAGCGCTTTTTCTTCAGGGGGAGCTTCCTTGAAGAAGCGTGAGCTATCCTGCATCCAGTTACTAGGAGCGAACTAGTCGCCCCTACTTAATTAAGCAGGCACCTACCCAATTAAGTAAGGGCCGGCTTAAACAAATAATGTCTTAGCAGGTCTTGGTAGGTCATGTTGCAGGTGATCCGTTTCTCAACAGACCCAAAAGGAGACAAAACAAGGTGGTGGTGACCAAACAGAAGATGCATGTCTTGTTGCTGATCGTGCTGCAAGACTATACAGTCATCAACAGTCTACAGTATTTGAATTTGTATGTTTGCTTTGATGTCCAGGTCGGGGCTTTGATGTCTCGATTGAAGTTCCGGGAGCCGCATGGCCCAGCAAGACATCAGAGAGATTATTTTAATCATGTCAACTTGACTTACGCCCCTGTGAAGCTTTTGTGAAGGTTGGATTCAGGAAAGGTGCAGAGAACTGCAACAGACTCAACAGGAGTCACCAACTTTCAGTGGTTGAACCTCACAAAACCTGACAGGTTCAAAAACAAACGACAAATGACAACTCGGCAGTCTAAAGGACCTGCCAAAGCATTTTTTGAGCATGTGCAGCTTTTGTGAAGGTCAGATGGGGGAGAAAGCTTTGGCAGGCTCAACAAAATCCACAAAAGTTCTGAGGGCTAGTGAAGTCTACGTGGATTGTCATCTAAACACTTGTTTTTTTTCAATGTTGTTTGAGCCTGTGCAGCTTTTGTGACAGTCAGATGCATCAGGTGCAAGAAACCTGGACAGGCTAAATGATTGAACAAAGAACACTGGACCAGACAAATACATTCCGAAAGTTAAGGAAAGACATACATAGCTGGAATTTCCTGCAGATATGCGTGACATCCTTCAAAATCTTCAGAATGGATCTTTGGTGGAGCATCGTCTACATGTATACCTACATACATATATATATATACACACTATACACACACGCACATAGCATCGGATGATGCCATTGATTGACAGTCTTGCTCAGAAATGTAGGTGGTTGCTTTGACATTGAAGTTAGGACAAACTAATTTCATTTACCGCCTTTGGACTGCATTCTTCGAGTGCTACTAGGGGCTCCTGGCATCGCTACTAGGAGCAAGGACCCTACTAGGGGCTTTTGGCCGTACTACTAGGAACAAGGATGCTACTAGGGGCTCCTGGCCGTACTACTAGGAACAAGAAGCTATTAGGAACATTTCAACCGCTTTTCGTGCTGAGGTCCCGTGCTGTCTTCACTGTGGACCTGACGAAAGAGACCAACCAGTCCAGGGATGAGGAAAAGGAGGAGACTATGTCTATTGCTCTTCAAGCCTTCTGGGACGATTCACTACCAGAAATGACCAGGATATACCAGCAACTCCTCGAGCCAAGCTACCAGAGACCCTAGAGTTCAAGGCACCTGTGAGTGGGCTGAAGCATGTGTGGGGCACGACCGTTTGTGCACCAAATGAAGCAAAAGAGTAGCCTAATCTCTTGGCGAGCTTGCATTGTATCATGGGGTGGAATTGCTTTGTTTCAGGAATTGGTTTGCAGCAGCGACAAGGAGAGGGTCTCTCTTGCGAAGCTGGTTATATCAGATCCTAACATCTAGCAGGACAAGGAGGCATTGCTGGCTGTATGGCTCTTGAGGCACAAGGGAAGAGTCTCGGCAAATGCACCATTTGAGGATTGTCAAACCACGCCCGTTCCAGCAGCAACAGCTCCGTACATTTCCTTGTCTTGAGGCTCAAGTGATTCCTGCATATTCAACAGGAGTACACAGTACACAAGAATGAGGGCACAACAAGTTGGCCTTTGCCTGATCATGAGAAGGAAAGCGGTGGTGCATCGACAAGCAGGGTAAATTGCTGTAAATGCACAGTATCGATGCCCCCAGGCAGAGGCACGTGACTTTATCACCTGCAAACACAAAGGCTGAGCAGCTATGTACCTGCTCAGAGGCCGGGTTTTGGACCAAATGGCACTGTTTTCCAGCATATTTTGGCCGCATCGCTATTAGGTTGGAGGCCATCGCTTCTAGGTTGGAGGCCATTGCTATTTGACCCCTCAAACCTAATAGCAATGGCCTTTGACTCATTTGACCTCAAAGAATGTTTCATAGGATTTGCCTCAATTGATGACAGATCGAACTGAGGCTTGGCTCGCGTCCGCTTGCCAGCTCGCTGCACAGGCCCCTGGGCCTACCCGATCCTGTAAGCACATGCACCGGTGCATCGTCATTCCTGACATTTTAATTTGATTCTAAAGAAATTCTAATTTATATATTGTTTCTACTAGCTTCTTGTTCCTAGTAGTAAGGCCCTTTGCTCCTAGTAGTGAGGCCCTTTGCTCCTAGTAGCGTCCTTGCAAGACTGTTTTTTTTCCTTTCCCGGAATGCAAGACAATGGCCGCTTTGAGGCTCGCATCTTGTTATCTGAAAAGCAGTGTCGCCATGGACATGCAAAGTTCTCCCTAAGTACAAGGGTCAATGTCATGTATAGTTAAGCCTTTTGCCATGCCACCAGGCCTTGTGCGGGAACAACTTCCTGCGAAGGCTGATCGAGAGATACACAATAAGATGTTCTCAGCACATGTTGTTTTTTTTGCAAGCCCTTCCAAGTTAGTTCGGGCTTCAGAAAGTGCCTGCTGTCAAATGGTGAATATGCTTGCAGGCCCTCAACTTTAAGGTGCTTGAACTGATGCACTCAATGCATGCACCAGAGCCAATGCAGATGCCAGCGGTAGGCGTGCTTGCTCCTTCTTCTGACTGACTCTTGTGACGAGAATCACTTGGGGATAAACCTGCTGTTTTCACTTGGTAGGAATTCAGTTTGCCATAGCTGTGACGATAACTAATCGTCTTACTTGATCTTTGGCTCAAGGTTGAAAAGGGTGCTGAAGCCACTAAAACGTGGTTATCAGCCGTATTTGGTTCTTGTGTGTTTACTTTGTTTTGGTTTGTGGTCTCATCTGGCCATAGCTGCCTCGCTGCTGCTCCGTTGCAGCTCTACTGCGGCTTGCGCCGCAGACTGGTCTGGCCTGCGTTCTGGATAGAGCCTTGTATGCCTCGTGGAGAGCGTGGGGGTAAGAAGACTAGAAAGTCTGAGGCTTTAGCAAGGGAAACCCTCGAGGGTCGACACAATCCCAAGTCAGCCCCCACTGGGTCAGCGTCGCTGGCTCGAGTGGAAAAGGTTAGGGGGGAACTTGCAGCATCGAGTGCATCAAGGGCAGTTGTGGATACAGTTGATTCATCTCCTGTTGGAGACATCACCCAGTTCTTGGTAGCACCGGCGTTGTCTGAAAATCCACAGGCAGGTTCGAGTAGTGATTCTAAGAAGAAGGCTTCACCAGCAAAGCGGCAATTGGAGCTGCCAAGGGGTGAGAGATCCCCTAAGGCCAAGGCGGTTGCTGTGGAACCGGTAAGCCCTACTGTGTCTTTGGAACTCGTACCAACGGTAGAAGCTAAGGCTGCTCCTGTGGAACCAAAGGCTACCCCGGTTGTTGCAAAGGCTGTTTCTGCGGTGAGTCCCAAGGCTGTCATCCCCAAAGCTAGGCCACGTATCTCGGATCCGGTTGTGGGTTTGTCACCGGCTGCACACATCCCAGTGGAACGAACAGCGGCGCCAAGTGCCAACTGCTTCATTCGAATCAGTGTGGATTTACACGGGGTTCTGGATCTCAACACTGAAGTGGAGGGTCGTTTTGAACGTACTGCCCGGTCATCGTTGTGTAACTGGCTTCACAAAAGCCGCTACCACCAGGCAGGTATCTGTTCTTACATAGGCCGTGCCGGACCATCTTCTCAAGCTCGACGTCAATCGGCTGTGTCAGAGGTACATCGCTTTAACAGTGATTACCATACTCAGTTGCGATTGTTGATTGACTCGGACAAGGCTAAGCCACTTCTGAATCCAAGAACTGTCTCGATCCATATTGACGATCGGTTGGATCTCGCTTGGAAGCTTTCGGAAAGGGGATTGGATACCATTCTTGTGAATCCATTTCTTTGCAGAAATCCCCCAAGGCATTTGCCCCCTGGTTGTGTGGTGGTGGAAGACCTCACGAAAGCCCTGGCAGAGGTGACACGTCGTGGACTGGTCCCTAAGGAATTTCCTGCTTGGCCAGGTATCTTCACGACTGATTAGGATCGCAGCTGGTCTACCCTTGCGCTTGCGCGGGAGCAGCTGACGGGGCCAAAGCGGTTGTTTTCTTCTTGGAAACTTGGTCACAAGTAGGTTGTTGGGGAGTGCATGGCAGAAGAAACCAGTTCATCCAGTCTTCATTTGACTTCAACCAATTCATCCACCAGCCAGAATTTCGGAATACCTGCGCAAGCAGCCGGCACCGAGATAGAGGAGTCTAGTGATTCGACACGAAGACCCAGAAATCGATCCATCACTCCGGTGAAGAGGCAATCCAGCTCACCTTATCCTCCTTCACATCGACCCCCAAGAGGAAGGATGTTGACGGACATGGAAAGGCCGACCGCTTCCCCGGATAGTTTGGAGAGAGGGTCAGCATCGTTGTTGCCCATGCCTAGAAACCCATTGGGAAACTCCACATCTCATGATCCAGTTTCTTTTGGTCCAGGGAACTATGCAGTTCAGATGAACCGCCAAGAGAATCATGATGAAGTGATGGTTGATACTAGGGAGGTATCATCTACTCAAGTTTATCAGGATCAGAGAACAGTGAACTTAGATCAAAGGTCCATTCATTTTCAGCAGCATGTGCATGGTCCAGACCCTAACATGATTGGTGACTTGGCGGCATCGGCAGCGACCTCCGGGTTGAGAGCCGAAGCAGCTTCAGTCGTGGCTGGGGTACAGGTCGAAGCAGCTCAGGCTGTTGCACAAGCAAGGGTTGATGCTGAATCAACTAGGGCTGAGGCAATGAATGAGATTAGCAGACTAAGGGCTCAAGTGGAATACATGACCAGAGAGAATCAATGGGTTCGAGGACAGTTGCAAGCTTCGATTGCACAGAGTGAACACACAGAAAGAGCTAGAGAAACCCAAACACAAAACCTTTTATCCCTCAATGGAACGGAGATGCAAGGGATCATCCAACGACTTGATGGCCTCGAATTGCAGCTTACCAGAGTTGAATCCAAATTGGATACCCATCAAGAGTATATCCAGGATCTTTGGATGCAGCAAGCTCCTGCGCCACAAGTGTTGCAAGAAGGAAGCACGACGCCAGTTGTCAGGTTGGATAATCAGGATCCCGCTACCAGAATGCCAATAGGTTTTCATATGCAGCCGGTTGGGGAAGAAGATGATGATCAAGAGAACCCCAATCTCTTCGGTGTTGGTTGTCCTAGTAGTGTTGGTGAACCAGATGATGTGGAACGAAGAGCACTCAGGACCAAAGATCTCCATCACTTGAAGTTACCGACATTGCCGGATTCAGCGTCTCAATTTCGATCGTGGAAGAATGCTGTTCGAACCATGTTGCTGTCATATGATCATAGCCCAGAGGGGTTACTCAATGATTGGCTCAATCCAGCATTTCAAGCCCGGGGTCAACAAGCTGAATTGCTTAGAACCTCGTCAGGGGATTTTCCTCGATTGGATAGAGTTATCGCATCAGTGTTGTGTAAGCCCGAAGCATTGAAGACCTCATTTGGTTTGAAAATTCAGTCCTACGTCGAACTGTGTGAGTCGACATCCCAACAAGTCAGAGGTCGCTACATAGTGAATCTGGTTTCGAGAGAATTTGACACTTCAGTGGCAGCAGGTGCAATCACTTCGTCATTGGAATTGTTCCAACTCCCGGTGCCTCAGGATTCAGCAGCCGCCCTCAGACATTGGCGTGATCGGGTAGTGTACATCTTGAGTCAACTCCCTGTAGGTCAAAGGCCCAACGAGGAATTGATGTCTCAGTGGATCTTCAACACACTCAAGCGCCATCCGCTCATGCGAAGGGTTATGGACAAGTATTATGATTCTTCCATTGGTTCACCCAATCGATCATTTGATGCACTATGGGAAGGGGTCGAACGAGCTTTGCTTGAGGCTCAACATGACACCAATACCCAGTCATTAAGAGATGATTTGAAACGGGGGCCGACCCATGTGAAGAAAACTCCTGCGGTGACAGCCACCAAAGGAAAGGAGAAAGGTTCTCCCAAAGCGAACCCCAAGCAAGCAGCAAGTTCTAGTTCTTCGACACAACCCAACAAAGGGACCGGGAAAAGCACAGGAAAAGGGGAAAGCAAAGACAAGAAGGATTCCGGAAAGGAAAAGCCCAAAGGTTCAGGCAGCACTTCGAGTACCGGTGGGAAACCCACCAAACCCATGACACCCGCTGATAAGTCTAACTATCCATGCATCTATCATGCCAAAGGCAGGTGTATGAGGGGTGATTCATGTCCTTACTCACATGCAAGTACTGCTCAGGCGGCCCCGAAGGGAACATCCAACGGCCCTTCAGGCACTGCTAAGGTGGCTGCAGCTGTTGCTATTCTGGCAACTTCAGCTGTAGCGGACTCGCACTCTGGATTCTTGGAGTTTGTTGGAGATACGGGTGCCGGGGAAAACCTCGGTTCCGTTGAGGCTTTCAAGAGACAGGGTTTGAACCTCCCATCGGACTTTGTAACTACAAGTTCGAAACCTCTCAATTTCTTGACGGGGGGGGGGCCACCAATCCGGAAGTACTACA